CATTTGGGGTTCAGGGTGGCATGCTAGGTGGTGGTTATGCATTTGAGGAAACTGAAGGTTGGGGGTGGGACTCAGCCCTGCAAAAGCAGAAGATGTCCCCTAAGCCTCTTCCTCATTCATTATTTTGCTTTCCATTGCTTATTCAGCTTTGTGATTGCAGGGGTTGAAGACATGGGGAGAGAGAAGGCCAGGATGAGTTTTAAAAATAATATTATTAAACATGTTTGGAAAGATGATCACATTGCCAGCCAGTGGAAGACTCTGATAGTCTCAAGGGACAAACTGTGCTTGGTTATAGCGGCAGTAAGAGACTGACGTGAAGAAGGCATTGCCAAACTTCTTTAAGCCTCAGAGAAAGATTAAAGTGGCTCATATTTATGTACAATACATTCGCACACGCACACGTGCACGTGCACACACACACACACACACACACACGCACACTCCCACACAGAAAAATCTGAGGCAGATGGGCCTTCTCCATCTTCCAGATGGACCACAGTATGTACATCAATGCACAGACTGGTCTAAGGACAATCAAGACCTGTGGTAGAGTGATATTAAAAGTCCATGTCAGCTCACTAGAAATCTGGTATGGACTGTAAAGGAGATCTTCACTTTAAGATTTTACTCCTGTGTTCAAATATATAGCAATACCTCATCTCCAGTAAATACGTCTCAGGTTTAAGATAGCACGATGGTTGTAAATCAGCTCTGAAACTCGACAGCTATAAATGCCATGTGGTATCAGTTAGATCACAAACCAAAGCCAATTTTTCAAAACATTTCCTGCTGGAATACCCACAACATTTTAACAGATGTCTTTTGGCAAGTTTTGAAGCAAAATAATCCCCTATCAGCATATGAAATAAAACCCAACAGAAAATAAAATGTGGAGTAGAGAGGGTTTTTTTCTTCTCCTGCTGCCATTAAGAGACAGATTTGGGAAAATCTTGAACTCTTTGGAGAAATACTTGGTCTCAGCCACAAAAGTCAAGGCATGAACTTTTCTCTCTGACATATACCATACAAAAAAAGATCAGGTTTTGAAAATATTCTTTCAGTGTTCACTAGAGAAATTTCCTTGGGTACTTTTGAGTATAATATTTGTTATTTCTTGTTCTGAGCACTGTTCATAAGTATAACTCTGGGTTTGGTTGAGGCAATCTTATGAAAAGCTAGGGGAAACGGCTTGAAAATACAATGGCACCCACAGAGAACAAAATGGAGGTGAGGCATCAAAGAAGAATCTATTGTTAGGAACAAGATAGACATGATTGATCCTGGCTTATTCAACAATGTAGTAATTTAGTCTGAGGCCTCTCAAAATCAATGGTGGGGGGGCAAAATGAAAGCCTAGGAAAGGAAAAGGAAATGGATTTTTCATTTTTCTCCAGCATGCTTTATGAAAACATCAATAGTATAGACAAGTTAAAAGAATTATGCAGCGAGCACACTGTACATGAGAAATAAACTATTTTTATTTTGAGTCTGACAGTTTGTTTACACTGGAACTGATTTTTGCCTTCATCTAAGAAATGCTCTTAAATGAATGAAATGGTGGTCTCCTAATACTCTTCCCACACATCTATTTTAAAGAAGCAAGTGTTGTTCACTGCCACTTCCGCACTGAGTGATATTTCCAAAGGCAGGGGTCCCTATGGGTATTTTTCATTACCTGTTGTTCTGCAGGCATCTTTCTCATGCTGTCTTATTCTCCCCTATGCTATGTCATTTTTAACTTTGTACTAAGAGCTGTACTGAAAAAGGATGTGTAGGTGGAAATAATTTGATGTCATGTCTTTAAGAGGAATTTTATTTCTTTAAGAGGAAGCTTGTTTCTTAATATCGGGCACACTAAGGTGCGAGCAACACAACAAATATTTATAAAACATTACTGAGTCAGTGGTAATGCGGCTATGAATAAGTAATGGCTAGTAGACCTCTGAATGAGCAATGTGATACATTTACATAAAGCCATTAAAGAATAATTTGGTTTATACAAATTTGATCAATTCTCAGCTTTTCTTCAACTTATCCATCAGTACCTATTAAGAAATGGCATTCTCATCCAAATAGAGATGCCCTGAGGTAGCACTGGCTTGTAATATGATTTATAAGATAATTTAGAGAAAAATTCTCTGAACACTCATCATATAAAATATAATTCAAAACACTCAGAGTCAGTTTTACTTCCATTGACCAACCTCCAGGAGATAGGACAGTTTCAGATACAAGACTCAGAGAGTGTGTAATTCGCGGTCCAGTTAATATTACATGCACGGATACTCTAATTCTACAGAGAGCCTAATTAGGTTTAGGTGGGGAACCCAAAGAGGACTACCTCTCCATTCCAAAGCTCAAGGTTTCCCAGTATCAGCTACATGCCATAGCTTAGGACTGTTACTAAAAAGAGAGATGCTTAGCTGAAGCTGAAACTGCTGGGGAGTAGAATCCAAGGAGACCTTTGTTTGATTAAGGTAGCCCAAGCCAGTGGTCTTCACAGTCAAGGCCACCTTTAGTGACCGTCAGGTTTTTCCTCATACTTGTTCAATGTGTAGGTGGGTTTTGCAAACAGATAAAAAATAAAATCTACTTCTCATCTCTCACTCCTGAAAAATAAAATACTCAGCAGGAGAGATGACTTGGGGCATTTATGATTAACTACCAAAATTCATTTGTCAATATTAATATCCTTTATATTTTCTGAACAGCAGTCTCTTATTATGTATTTTTTTAAAATTTCTTCATGAGCTACCAAAGCCTTGAATTACTTTGAAGCAATTCCTTTCCCATATCAGCGTGATACTTTGAGGCTCCCTTTCGCTTGCTTCTATGAGTTGTTCCTCTATTTTAGATATTCCAGTCTCTTAGATGAGACATGGATGTCATCTATGGCTGAGTCTCAGGATAGAGTCAGAGTGAGATCCAAGCTCAGGTGATACCTAGTACATCTTTCAGTAGAAGAGATTTAGGCTCTTTAAACTCATCTAGTCAAAACAAACTGGTCACGAGAAAATGACATTTGCTCTACATAAAAATTAATGACCAACCTTACGAGATAAAACTTAGAAACTTAAATTAGAATTAGATCTTAAATGCTTCTCACGATGCATACCTGCCATAGGGTTGAGAATAACTAGGTTCAATATCCACCCGTACCAATCCACGTATGGAACCAGAAGTTTCTGGTGGTTTCCTGTCTGGTTTTATGCATTTACTCTAGTAAGACAGAGGTTTCCATGGTATTTGATCCCTCCTGAGATCTTGGACATGACTCTAATTTTAATTGGATTTTTCATAACTGCTAAAACACACAGATCTCTGGTATCATTTGATTGGGCAAATATTTTGGTGAGTTCTTATGAGGGGACACAATTAGTATCATGAAAGACCGAGAGAAAAAGTTAAATACAGGAATTCACAATTTACTAGATAAACACAGTATGTTTGTGTTCAATGATAATTTGTATTATACTAAAGCCCTGATATAAGGTAAGTACTATTATATGTACATAACTGAATCTAAAGCTGGTATAGACTAGACTTGCAGGCCTGTCTAGCCTTTGACATTGAAATATGGCATTGCTATCTACAAAGTCCTTCCACAGATATACAAATAAAGTTACTGAGAATAATAATAAAATAATTACAATGTTTTTGGTAAGTTTAAAATTTTGTTTTGGGCTACATTCATAGCTAGCTATCCTTGCACATAATCAGTCTGTGTGTTTTCTCACCTGGTGAAGTTCAAGAGTTTCAGGCAGGCCTCTAAGCCCTGCACCTGGAAGACTTAGGCAAGATGACTGTGGGTTAGAGACCAACATGGACTGGATAATGAGTCTCTCTCTCTCAAAATAAACAAACAAACAAGAAGAGCTTCAGTGTCTTAGTAGATCCTGGAGAGAGAATACTGATTACCAAATTATTTTCTAATACTGATTACCAAATTATTTTCCAAGCAAGATTGGCAATATGATTTCTTTCATCCAATACAAAATAAAATACAGGCTCTCTTCCTCAATTTAAGTATTGTGAGATGTTGGCAGCCCAGCATTAAACCCTGTGTGGGTGTGGGTGTGAAGCAAAAACTCTCATGGAAGCAATGATCTTTAAGAAAGCTTGATGAGAGAGAAGCAAATTGGAGCAGCAGGGAGAAGATGATACACATAGGACAATTTCCCCCGAAGAATTCATGGGAAAAGAAAGTCATTCTACGGGAAGAAAAGAATTTAGTCTTTCCCAACTTGGCAAGACTTAAATAAAAAAGATGAGAAAGTTCTGAATCTGTAGAGATGATTCAGTAGGTTAAATGTTTGCCTTGCAAACACGAGGACCTAAATTTGAAAGCTTGGTGTGGTGGTACACATGAATAATCCCAGACCTGGGGAGGTCGAAGCAAGCAGATCCCTGAGATTTGCTGGCCAAGCAGCCTAGCTTATTTGGCAAGTTCCGGTTAAAGACCATCACACATACAAAAACAAAAAAACCAACCAAACAAACAACAAACAAACACAAAATGGATAATTCATGAGAATTGATGATGCCTGAGTCCAGCCTCTGTCCTCCCCATGCACATGTACATACTCACATGCATGTATACCTACGCACACATACCTGCACATATTCAAACATACGTACACACATGCCGGCACTAGAATATACAGTGTGCTAAGTGCCACAATTCTAAAGATACTATGTGTATTTACTCATGTACCCCTCAAAATAGCCCTGGAAGGTAGAGGCTGTTATTCACCTATCTTGCTACAGATGTCAAAGAAGATGTCAGATTGCACCTGATCATGTAGGAGAAATACTAGATAGTCAGGATTTGAAGTGAAGAACTCTAGGTCCAGAATCTGTCCTCCTAGTCAAAATGGAATCATTTAGGAGAGAATGTCTCCCAGAATTGTATTTGTTAGGGTCATAGGTTTGATCTCACTAAGGCATTCTGTTGTGTACATTTTTTAATTTTTTCCTTTTGCATTCCATCTTCATAGTTTAACAGCACCCGCTCGCCCTCCCCCACTGAATGTTGCCACATGGCCCCATGGAGTAGAAAGGTATTGGTTCTGAGAATATTGTTCTGCAGCCTTTTCCTGCTCTTTTTCAGACGCTTTCCCTTTCTTCTCTCTTTTAACTTTATTGCAAACCCATTTGCAACTAACAGTTTTTCTCTTCAGTCAATTTAAAGGATGGGATTTTCCTAACTTGAATTAAGGACAGCCCTGTCACTGGTTTTGTTCCCCATTAATGTCCCCCTTGGAGTGGCACTTTGCAGCTCTGCTGAGCATAGATATCCTCTATCACCGCTTCTTGATTTTGTAGTTTGGGGAAAATACAGTTTTCCCTGTATTTATCAGACCAGCAAAGGTTCAGCTTCTCAAATTAAAAAAAAAAAAAAAAAGAACAAAACAAGAGGATCCTCTGGCAGCCAACTGTCCCTGTCACCATTAAATAAAAAGTACTTTTGGCTGCGGGTCAGAACCTGGAGTCAAGTCACTGTCCTTTAGTCCTTTCAAGTTCATTGTTATTCAAGGAAGGAATCGCCAGCAAAATGAGGCCTCTGGTGGTGGGAGTTTTCTTTCCTGCAGACTCCAACTCGGTGCTCAGCTTTACCTTGTTCTCTCTCTCTCTCTCTCTCTCTCTCTCTCTCTCTCTCTCTCTCCCCCTCCCTTCCTCCTTCCCCCTCCTTCTCTCTCCCTCCCTCCCTCTCTGCATACACCAAACTTTTTTTTTTTTTCCTTTTTGAAAGTTACCTAGGAAACAAAGTCTTTTGTGCTCCAACTTCATTTGAGCTATTCGCTTCTCTGGGAATCTGCACAAAAGCTGAAGAGAGAAAGAAGGTTGCAATATTTTACTAAAACGTTCATGGCGAACACAATTTTCCCAAGTTGGGGGGGCATCATAGACCGTTGGGTGTATTAGGGGGCTTTGCGGAAACCTGTGGTAAGGTAAGTAAACTCTGGGGTTTCCTTTAAATAAGGGGCTCTGGAGTCTACTCTTTAAGGAGACTTGAGGATAGTTCATTTGACAATACACGTGACCCTGAGCCAAGAGTACAGTTTCCAATGTGAAGACTGGAGAGGTTTATTTTGTTTTGTTTTTTGAATCCTGATTTTTAGGACAGAGTATTATTAAAACTTTACTGAAATAAGAGGAAATGAAATAGTTATTTTTTACAGTTACCCATCTCCCTCCGAAGGAAGAAAGAGGGTTCAATAGTGGAAACTGGGTCCTTTACAACTCTGGTTTAGAAAACCAACCCTAAAACCAAAAGTGGGATGGGGCCTTTTGAATAATCTGGGCCTGGAGCCCAAACTGGAAAGAAAAGTTAGACAGCATTAATATTTATCACGGGTATGAATGGACAATTTTCAAATGTCATATAGAAATCAAAGCCTCTAACTTACGCAGCTGGAAGAAAAGTTTTGCACAACAAAGCTGCAAGAAAATAAACCAGAACCTCTTCTACCAGTCCCAGCCTGAAAGAGAAACTTGCTTCCATCTTTCCCTCCAGAAACAGAATTTGTATATTTCACTGTACTCGGATACTGGGGCACATCTTTTCTTTGGCGCTTTTACAGCCATCTAATGTCAGTTAAACTGACTTTTAAAAATGTCATTCACCAAATCTGTTTTTCTGCGGTGCAATTAACGCCTGGACTTTTGATGGCCTCCTGGATTAGGTTGGTGGCTTATGCTCCAGGTGATGTGTTCCAGACTGTCTCCTGTCTCCGGGTTTTTTTCGTAGACTCTGAGGAATTTTATAGGCTTTTAGCTCATCTGCCTTCATTGATCATCATAGTCTAGAGCTCTCAAGATTTTTGACAGGAATTTATAGTGACATAAAGATACAGAAAGTAGATTTACCTTTCAGTGAATTAGAGACAGGCAGTTTTCTTCAGTTTGAAGGTATAGGATTTCTGACTAATTTATCTCTTCTCTTTATTCCGTTTCACCTGAAAAGCATGTTTTGTGGGCCCACTTTTTTCCTTCTGTACCTCTTCACTATTGAAACAAAACTTCCTATTTTGTTTTTCTGCTTACTATTTTCTATGACTGTTTCCTTTGTCTTACATGCTTATTTTTAGCCTTGTTTTAAAAGATTGAACTATGAAATTCCTTATGCATGTAAGGTATGGGATGTGAATCTGAATATATTTTGCTTGCAGTCCCACTCTCCAGAGGATGAAGACACAGATGTCATGTTAGGACAGAGACCGAAAAACCCAATACATAATGTCCCCTCTACACTGGACAAGCAGACCAACTGGAACAAAGCGCTACCTCTCCCGACTCCCGAGGAGAAGATGAAACAGGATGCTCAAGTGATTTCTTCTTGCATTATTCCCATCAATGTCACTGGTATCGTTTTCTTTCTTTCATTTAGGGGTAGTTGGGTCTGAATATTCCACGTATTCAGTGTAGTCAAAACCTGTGCTGTTAGCTTCCCTCTCAGCTAAGAATATAGTTTTGTCATGAGCAAGAAATCTTTCATCAACATACAAGTCAGGAGATAATTCAGTATGCTTTTGTCAGGTTTGAATACCAATTTGCATATATTCTGCTGGACTGCTTGTTATGTAAATGATGGACAGTTTCTTTTTGAAAAAAAACTCACCAAATAGCTCGGTGGCAGTGATTAATCACATGATAATGGTGTGTGGTACCGCAAGAAAGAAAACAGCAAAACCCAGGTTTCTAAAACTGCAAGTAAGGTCCCCTCGACCAACTAGAAAAATCTGTTTTTATGCTTCCCTGGATAAAGGTAGGCTTTGCTAAAAGACCATTTAGACGTCTGTATTGGTTTTAGGGATTTTTGATCTGAAAATATCGAGATACAGAGATGAGGGGTGAATTGTGTTTTAAAAGCAGCAAGCTTGCTTGACTTCTTTTCACTTTCTGCTATTGTATGCATTTAAAGTTTGCATATTAGTCTAGGTAGGATGGAAGCCTAGCTGGAGTTTTCTTCAGAGTCTGATAGCAGAGGGAGTGAATTCTGGAGCTGGGGCTTGGAATTTTAGTTATAAATCAAATGATGTTTTAGTTTTTAAAGGAATCTATAGTTTAGCATACAAAGTGATAGGTTTAATAATGTGATTTGTGTGTGTATGAGTGTGTGTGTGTGTGTGTGTATGAGAAAGAGAGGAGGGAGAGACAGACAGATAGACAGAGAGAGAGAGAGGGAAGGAGGGAGGGAGGGAGGGAGGGAGGGAGGGAGGGAGGGAGGGAGGGAGAGAGAGAAAGTTATACTTTGTTCTCAATCATTCTCCCCCCGACAATTAAATGATCTCCCATTAGTATTTATTAAACACCTCTTCTAGTTTCCTTTTGCCTTATTTGTGTAATGAAAAATTTAAAACAGTCACACTGTGACAGAGTTCATCTTGATTCCCCATAACTAAAGATTGCAAGTCCCCTGAGAAGCATTTTGGACATTGCTATTATTAATTCCACTCAGATTTCTCTCACCTAGAGTGGGGGAACAAATGGACTGGGTATCTGGGACAGATATTATTTTCCCTCCTGAATGAGAGATACTCTAATGCATTGGCCAGTTGTGCCGTGAACTGAGACTTAATTTTCCTGCTGACCTATTCAACTTATGGGATAAATTATTCTAAAGATGTGCACTTATAGAACCTCTATAATCTAAATGAGATGCTCTAGAGGAGTTCATCTGCCAAAATGGATCATTTTGGCACCCCTTTAACTAATTTTTCAGTCTGGGAACATCTGACTATTAGCAGCCCCTGCTTCTTTTCTGGTGCTGAAAGTAAAATCTTGTTTTCAAAATGTAGTGCTGTGATTATGGGCCATCATCTTGTGATTAGGAAAAAGAGAAGATTTTTCTTTCAGTTTTATTTCAGGAGCTCTCAAGATGAAGGCTCAGATTAGATGTTGATTTCAAGAGCTTCAATGAGAGCAGTGTTAATGATGTCCATATAACACACAGTGTCTGTAGATCATGTCTTCAATAATTATTAAGATTCAAATGGAGGATTTAAGTTTTTTATTGGAACCAAGAAAGGAAAATATCATGCTTATGAATTCTCTAATAACATTGTAATCATTCATCACAAGACAGATAGATTTCAAAGTGGGCCTAGAAACTGTTGACACTGTGAGGCTCTCCAGCTGACCCAGGGTCTAACAGCTAGGAAAAATGATGAGGTGATCAAATCCCGAAGCACAGCATTCCAGACTCCTTAGCCACAGCTTACACTGGAACCTCTACAGTGTACGCTTGTGCCAGACAGAGTTTGAATTCCTTACCGTCCTCTTCATTGTACTAATTTAATAGAACCACATATAGTGCTACTAATGTGATTACAGAGAAGAACTAATAGTCACCATGATTGGTCCCTGCATGCATAACAACAAACAATGCTTTGAAGACTGGGGAGTCTGACTTATAACTGATTGGCACCGAAGGTAGAGCCATTGTAAGTGCAGGACCAGGAACTCCTCTTGATGTTTATTTCCAAACCAAAAGCATCCAGTTTATTCACAAGACAAAAGTAGAGTTAGAAGATTATCGAAAGAAGAAAGCCCTAATCTGTGGTGGTGTTGTGTTTCCTCACAGCAGTTTGTGTGTGTGTGTGTGTGTGTGTGTGTGTGTGTGTGTGTGTGTATTTTCTTGGAGAAGATTGAACATTGAATCTTGAACATTCAATCATTGAACATTGAACATTCAATGTTGGAGAAGATTGAACCTTCAGGAGGTGAAGGGAGAAAAACTCACAAAGACACTTTGTGACCCAGAGAAATGGGTCAGGATACACTAGGTTCACATCTTGGGTACTGATCTACTATGCAAAAGGTATCAGTTTCAAAGAGTCCAGAAATAGAGCAGAAAATAATAGTGAGGAAAGGTTATAACCAGGTCAGCGTGAGAGGGCTTTGCTGATGCCCCTCTCCTCTATTTTTCTTTTCATTTCCCTCTTTTGCTTCTTTCTTTTGGCTTTGCAAACTATTGTGGGCGGCTGAATTTAGAAGTAAATCTTAATGTACTACAGCATCACAGATTTAATCCAAAGTCTTCCCTGACTTCCAATCAATAAACATCACTGTGTTCCAAGCAAATGAAAACTTGTCTGCTATTTTTCAGGCTAACGAGACCTTTTTGTTGGTTGCAGGCGTTGGTTTTGACAGAGAAGCTAGTATACGCTGTTCTCTTGTTCATTCACAATCCGTCCTACAGCGGAGACGAAAATTGAGGAGAAGGAAAACCATCTCGGGGATTCCCAGAAGAGTTCAACAAGAAATAGGTGTGGCATAAAAACGTTCATGGTTTCTGTCTAGTGAAGGTGACAAGGAGGGGAAATGGGTGTCACTTTCAACTGCCTTCAACTATAACATCCCTTAGAAATACTGAAAGTTTTAACTTGTAGTCATTTTAAACTACGGTGTATTTATTTACATTCAGAAAACCATTTGGTATTTTTTAGCTCTGTTCTTGAACATAAAGGCTTAACCTTAGAGATTCAAGCATTCCTGGTGAAATATATCTTGTCATTTCAAATGCTTCATTGCGATGGGAATATGAATAAATATTCTATGCAATATTTTTGAAAACTGTAATTTAATATGAAGAAAAATGTACTTTTATGCTATTAATTATTTTTCAAGTAAATTTTAAACATATTCAAATATAGAATCTTAAAAATATAATATCTTTGGGGACATTTAAATTTTTTCTGTTCAATGTATTTTATATTTATACTAATTTCAAAATATTATGGTAGCAACTCCATGTAAATAAGACTTTGATTTTTTTTTAATGAAGTCTATGAATTGTATTCCATTGTGCTTGTGTTTCAAATCACCAGTGAAAGTAGTGGCCAGGGCTTTAGATTTTGTAATTCAGTTGTTTTGGGCTTTTGGATTTTTAAATCATGGGTTTTTTTTGTTTGTTTTTGTTTTTTTTTTTTTACGAAAACAGTTACTTGCTGGAGCAAATTAATTCAAAGAGAGATGATTCATAAAAACAAAAGGCATATCTTCTCTCAATAAGTGTACATGATGCATGTGTGTGTGTCTACACATATACAAATAGACATGCAGATAGAAACAGAGACAAATGAGGTACAGAAAGCATCAAACTTTCTCCTAATTTTAGAGACTAATCTTTTTTGTAGGAAAACGTTTTAATATGGTAGCACACAGATTTATAAACAACCCTCAGAATGCCCGTTAATCTCCCGATCTGTAATGTCTTATGGTATTTTCCATGTGCCCTAGATTCCGATGAATCACCCGTGGCCAGGGAAAGGAATGTGATTGTGCACACAAACCCAGACCCCTCCAACACTGTCAATAGGAGGTCCGGAACCAGGGACTCTGAATGCCAAACTGAAGATATTCTGATTGCTGCCCCATCCAGAAGGAGAATTAGAGCTCAAAGGGGTCAAAGCATTGCAGCTTCCCTTTCTCATTCTGCTGGCAACATCTCTGCCCTGGCAGACAAAGGCGATACCATGTTTACTCCTGTAGTGAGCAGCCGCACAAGATCTCGGAGCCTTCCTCGGGAGGGAAATAGAGGTGGAGATGCTGAACCCAAAGTTGGTGCTAAACCCTCAGCATATGAAGAAGGAGAGCCTTTTGTGGGTGACCATGAAAGAACCCCTAATGATTGTAGTGAAGCTCCAAGCAGCCCAAGTGCACAGGAACACCAGCCTGCTTTGGGCCTGGCCTGCTCTCAGCATCTTCACAGCCCCCAGCACAAGTTAAGTGAGAGGGGAAGGTCTCGTCTGTCCCGAATGGCGGCTGACTCTGGAAGCTGTGACATCTCCTCCAACTCAGACACCTTTGGAAGCCCCATCCATTGCATTTCCACAGCTAGTGTCCTCCTCGGCAGCCACATGGACCAGAAAGATGACCACCAGTCGTCCAGTGGTAATTGGAGTGGGAGCAGCTCCACATGCCCCTCCCAGACCTCAGAGACAATCCCTCCTGCAGCTTCTCCTCCCCTCACTGGCTCTTCGCATTGTGACTCAGAATTGTCACTGAACACGGCTCCTAATGCTAACGAGGACACCAGTGTCTTTGTGACAGAACAGTACAACGACCACTTGGATAAAGTAAGAGGCCACCGGACAAATTCCTTCACCTCCACTGTTGCAGATCTGCTGGATGACCCCAACAACAGCAATACAAGCGACAGTGAGTGGAATTATCTGCACCACCATCATGACGCATCCTGCCGCCAAGATTTCAGTCCTGAGCGTCCAAAGGCAGATAGCCTGGGCTGCCCAAGCTTCACAAGCATGGGCACCTATGACAGCTTTCTGGAAAAGTCTCCTTCAGACAAAGCAGATACTAGCTCTCATTTCTCAGTGGACACAGAAGGGTACTATACCTCGATGCACTTTGACTGTGGTCTCAAAGGTAATAAGAGCTATGTCTGTCACTATGCAGGCCTGGGCCCAGAGAATGGTCAGGGTGTAGGAGTTCCTCCTGGTCTTCCGGACTGTGCCTGGCAAGACTACTTAGACCACAGGAGGCAGGGGAGACCAAGCATCTCTTTCAGGAAACCAAAGGCAAAGCCAACTCCACCTAAACGTAGCTCATCATTGAGAAAGTCCGATGAAAACACAGATATTTCTGAGAAGAAAGAACCAAAGATAAGTAGTAGTCAGCATCTGCCTCACAGTTCCAGGGAAATGAAGCTGCCTCTTGATTTCTCCAACACGCCTTCTCGAGTGGAAAATGCCAATCTGCCTGCAAAGCAGGACTCTCCTTGGATAAACCAGAGTGAACACGCCGTTAAGGAACCTCAGTTGGATGCTACAGACATTTCACCATTCAAAGACGAAGGTGCTGAATCAACTCACTATGCAGACCTCTGGCTTCTAAATGACTTGAAAACAAATGATCCTTACAGATCCTTATCTAATTCAAGCACTGCTACGGGTACCACAGTTATTGAATGCATCAAATCTCCAGAGAGTTCTGAATCCCAAACATCCCAGTCAGAATCAAGGGCCACCACCCCATCTCTTCCTTCTGTCGATAATGAATTTAAACTGGCTTCACCAGAAAAGCTGGCTGGCTTAGCATCTCCATCAAGTGGCTACTCAAGCCAGTCAGAAACCCCAACCTCCTCTTTCCCGACAGCTTTCTTTTCTGGTCCATTGTCTCCTGGAGGTAGCAAAAGAAAACCGAAAGTCCCAGAAAGGAAATCCTCACTACAGCAACCGTCTTTAAAAGATGGAGCCCTGTCATTGAATAAAGATTTGGAACTCCCGATTATACCTCCTACCCATCTTGACCTAAGTGCTCTTCATGTTTTGAACAAACCATTCCACCACCGCCACCCGCTGCATGCTTTTACTCATAAACAGAACACAGTCGGAGATATGCTTAGGTCAAACCCTCCACCGTCTCTTGCAATCACACCAACGGTCCTGAAGTCCGTCAACCTTCGGTCTATCAGTAAGTCTGAGGAAGTTAAGCAAAAGGAGGGCAATAATACAGATCTGCCCTGCTTAGAGGAGAGTCCTGCGGCAGCGGCTTCTGTGACTTCCTTATCTCCAGGTAAAACAAGGCCACACACAGCAAGGAAATCAGTATCGCGCCAGTACTCCGCTGAAGACACCTTCCTGTCCTTTTTAGATGCCCCTGCAGTTGAAATGGGGCCAGAGAAGCATCTGGAAAAGAACCCTACTTTTGATGTGAAGAATCACTGCGATTCAGAAACTGTAACCTCAGCTAGTAGCAATCCCCCAGATTCAAGTGTGATGAAAGACCAAAGACAGCTGGAAAGTGAGCTTATTCCAGAAAACACACCAAGTAAGAACTGTGGATATTCAACGGGATTTCAGAGGGTGCCTGCTGCACGCCCCAATGATTTGGGCAGTAAAATGATGCAGTATGGAGCAGGTCCAGATGGAGTCCCACAACAAGGACAGAAGGCACCCTCTGGAGTTGGGGAAGAAGGTGTGAAACTGGAATCTGTGGGTGGAATCGCACTTCAAGCCAACTCACCAACTAGAGTAACAGACATAAGCAGTCAACATAAGCATCAACGTGCTGTGAGCCGTCACCATGACAAAGTGCCTGTGACCATCCGCCATGAGTCAGAGATGTCAACTATAAATTCATTCCCTGAAAAATGTTCTGAGCAGGAAAATATTGTGTCAGGTATTTCACCCAAAAGTGCCTCTGACAACAGCAGAGCAGAGGAGACCCAAGGAAGTATGGATGAGACGTCGTTGAAAGGTCAGTTAATGATACCTTTGTTAGGGTGGAAATGTGTCCTATGGTGGTTCCTGCATTTTCTATTGTTCTCTATAGCCCTGAGTGTTGGTTTACCTCTGCCATTTTTTCACTTATTCAAACAATTTAGAAGAAACCTATTGTTATTTACGAATTAATATTTGGCAGATATCTCTCTCATTTTAAAAATCGTGGTGAGGTACCTTCTATTTGGTTGATCCTGGAGTCAGGGAAACAGGGTAGTGTGATGTATAGCTGCCTCTTAAAGATGTTTCTGTTCTTGTTTTAAGAATCATCACCGAGCGATGACACCACCACTTCACCACTCGGTGAGGACTCTCCCGCTGAAGCTGAGGGTGTGTTTGTGTCTCCAAACAAACCTCGAACAACTGAGGATCTATTCGCTGTCATTCACAGGTGAGAGAGTGTCACCGATTTCCCAGAAACAAAAGGCACAGAAAAGAATTTGCTTCTTGAAGTGTCTCTCACTGAATGAAAATATGGGGAAGCATTTTGTACCCATAATACATACAACAAAAACAAAAGCAACCAAGGAAGAAGTATCTCTCCAAATAAAATCCATAGACTTGTATGCATGTTTGAAAATGTGAGGTAGATAGATAGCTACAGCTAGACGGACAGATGTGTAAAGTTCAATTGAGAGAGCTCAGTGAGATTCCCCCAGGAAAGATATTCTGAAACAAATTTACCTGTGAAAGCAATTTATTATTAAGTGACTTGGAGTGAAAGCTCAAATTCAAGAATGACCTCTGTTGTACATATTACATTTTGTACTTATTTATCTATGCAGTACTAGAAATCAAACCCAGGACTTCTCATACATACTAGGAAAGCACTCTGCCACGGAGTTACACTCTTAGCCCTGGCTTTTAAGTAATCCCTCGAGTCTATAAAATATGCTCAAAGCTGTAATCTCACACTAGCTGATACAAACATATGCTGATTTGCCAGAACCATCTGAGCCCATCTCAGCTCGGAACAACTGAAAACTGTTCTCTTCTATTCTTTCTCTTTAAAAAGTGAATTTCTTTCATGGTGCTGACTTTTATCTCTAAAATGAAAGGCCATATCCCATGAATAGCGGATGTTCTCTGGGTTGCTTTCCAAGAACATGGTTTTGCCTTTGCTGCCCAGGCACGCTTTCTCTTTCATACCTTTATAACCTGTTCTCAGTGGCCCATATTTGCAACAATCCATTCCAGCTGCTGACCAGAGAAGCAGAGCCAGAACTCATCCTTGAAAGCAAACTCTTAGCCGCTGAACCAAATGATGCTAAATGTGCTCTTTCCACAAGCATGAGTCCCTTATTCCACCTGGCCTTGGGGACCGAGACGTAATTCCCCAAGGATAGAAGCCAGGGTTTATCTTTCCCTTTTCACAGACTTTCCGTTTGTGAAACAAACTCTTCACAAGCAGAGGTTTTTTTTTTTAATTGATTTTTCTTGAGCTTTACATTTTTCTCCGCTGCCCTCCCTGCCTCTCCCCTCCCCTTTAACCCTCTCCCAAGGTCCCCATGCTCCCAGTTTACTCAGGAGATCTTGTCTTTTTCTACTTCCCATGTAGATTATATCTATGTACATCTCTCTTAGGGTCCTCATTGTTGTCTAGGTTCTCTGGGATTGTGGTTTGTAGGCTGGCTTTCTTTGCTTTATGTTTAAAAACCACTTATGAGTGAGTACATGTGATAATTGTCTTTCTGGGTCTGGGTTACCTCACTCAAAATGATGTTTTCCAGCTCCATCCATTTTCTTGCAAAATTCAAGCTGTCGCAAGCAGTTTTTAATGTCTCCTCCCGCCCCTCAAACTTCTGCTTTTGAAAAGGGTTCTCTTTCTGTTGGTGCTGTTTCAATTGGTTTTATTTTTCTTAAAGAAGGAGCACTGCTCTTTCACACCTGCATTTTCCTAAGACTTCCATTAGTAGCAGCCTCTGTGTATACCATAAGCAGTCAAACTTCCTGACAAACAGGGTAAGAATCACCAGTTTATGTTCTTTAATCACAGTTGTTGTCTAGACGCCAATCATATTCCTCTAACCTTCACAATCTATCTTCAAACTCAGTACAAATTATTAATTTGCTATGTAAGTTAATGAACCCTCAAAGAACCATGTGGTGTGTCTGGAAGAGTGGGCAGAATACACATTGTAGAATTAGAAAGATATTGACTTCAGACTCCTGACAATGCTGCTTTCTATGCTGCCTTGAGTAAGTTAAACATCTGAACTTAACCTCACATATTTGATTCTGTTGATAAGAAATCATTTTGTGTCTAGAATACTATAGATGCTGAGAAGACCTGCTGTATGAAAATTCTACCCTCGGGTGACACCAAGGACAGATATGTAAAAATATCAACCACAGGGGTTTCTCTGAGCATGGTCACACTCCTTTGGAATCTGCAAAGGCAAAGCTCACGTTTCCCATACCACACAAGGTTTTACGGTGGTGAGAACACATGCCACCAGAGCCAGGAATGACTGAGTTAGGCTGAGGACTCATTGAGTTTGGGCACACTTAATCCAAAATAAGATCAATAATTCCATGATCGAAATAGAGGTTAGGTAGATTTAAGGAGTTTGGTAACCTTAGATTTGTATTTGTGGAGGATTTACCTATCTATTTCCATCCCAGTGACAAGAGTTATTTCTCTGTCTTGAGAGCTTAGGTTTTATAATATTTTCAGAGCTGCCGAGATGGTTTGAGTTTTCAATTCCTCACAAAGAGTTGAATTACTGCTTGATATAGTGTTGCTGCCCCTGAGTAGCTAAGGATTACTGTATTTGTGTTCAAAAACAGATTGATTTATTTTAAAAGTCACTAAACTAACTTTTCATGTGCAGTGAATTAAAACGACTTAACTGGTAAAATGTAGGTTAGTCTCCAGCACGAATCTCCACTGTTCATCACCAAGGCCCATCAGGTCTCAAGCTAAGGCCCGTTGTGTCCCACCGACGCCATTTTCCACTTGCCGTACTTACTATTATTTGGAAGCTGATTGTTGATGTGAGAATATGCCTCTGTATTTTACAAACAGATTTAATGAGAAAAAGCAACAGTCTTGCCCCACATTGTAAACAGAAGTCGGCAGTCCCCCCCCTTAAACTCTAGAGGGGCAAGTAATGAATCTTAACCTTCCTCAGTATGGTGCTAATGCTTAGTATTCTACTATATAGGATGCTCTTTAAATATAATAGATATGGGAATCAGATGGCAAACTTATTGATTCATAAAATTGTATGTGGACTCAGATTTTTACCCCATTTTCTCTTTTCTTAAAAGATCCAAGAGGAAAGTACTTGGAAGGAAAGATTCTGGTGACATGTCTGTTAGAAGCAAATCCAGGGCTCCTCTTGGCAGCAGCAGCAGCAGTGCCAGTTCTGTCACTTCACCCGGCAGCAATGTGACATCTGGGACTAGCCAGAGGTCTCCTGGTCTCATCTACCGAAACGCCAAAAAGTCCAACACATCCAACGAGGAATTTAAGCTACTGCTTCTCAAGAAAGGCAGTCGCTCTGATTCTAGTTACCGCATGTCTGCCACCGAAATCCTGAAGAGCCCCATCCTGCCCAAGCCTCCTGGAGAGTTCACTTCAGAGTCCCCACAAAGCCCTGATGATACCCACCAGGGCACACCTGGGGCTGAAGCGCTGTCCCCTCTGTCCCCGTGCTCTCCACGAGTCAATGCAGAAGGGTTTTCCTCGAAAAGCTTTGCCACCTCAGCATCATCCCGGGTTGGACGTTCCCGGGCCCCACCTGTGGCCAGCAGCAGCCGCTACAGTGTCCGCTGCAGGCTGTACAGTACGCCAATGCAGGCCATCTCCGAGGGAGAGACTGAAAACTCTGACGGGAGCCCACATGATGACCGATCCTCCCAGAGTTCCACATAGTTTGCCTGAGCCAAGAAGACCTCAGATGTACAACCCCTTCCTGTTGAACGAATGGTGTTGATACCGTAGAGGAACTAACTGGGAGAAGTAGCAACAGGGTGGGGGAATCGCATCGTTGTTTGGCAATGAACTTCTAAATATGTGCTGGAGAAACAGAAAGCGATTGAGTCATTTCTTTATTAGTTTTCATGTTTTAAGTAGCAGTTCTGTCTGTTGTGATTTTCTTTAGCATAGTTTGATTTACCCGATCTCATTCCTTGTGATAATAAAGAATACAAAAATATCTAACTTTCTTGAAACCTAGACAAGGTTTTCCCAGAGCTGCCTATTCTGAAAATAAAGCCCTCACTGTCATACTTTAAGAAGATGAAATTACTCTGGAGGTTTGGTATTTTTTTACATTAAAATGAACTAAAGCAAAATTTAGAAGAAAGAACTACACATATGTAAATACCATATTTTTGATAAAAATGTGTAAATAGATTTATCAATGATGAGTGGACAAGTGGCCAATTATCTACCACATACCAACTGTTTATAGGACACACACAAAATATAATAACTGTATTCTGTGAATACCATTTTCATATCAAATACCATATTTAAATGTCCACCAACATGATTTCTGAGTGATAAACCTCAAATATGAATTTAAAACCGGTGAAATAATGGAAATATTGAGGTCATGTACTGAATTGTGATTAATTTAAAATAACGAATTCAGACCTAATCATTGTTGTGACAAATTGTAGCAGAAACAAGCTAACCTGAGTTTGTGGCTGTGACTTGCCATGTGGCAATTTGAACAGAATGAAAGCATGCTTTTGATTTTTTTTTAACCAATGAGAGAAATCATCCTTCTCAATGCAAAGAACCCCCCCTCCCAATAGCATTAAACAGTGTCCTTTAGAATCTAATTTTGTTTTTCAATGGATTGCTTTAAGAAGAATGAGTAGAGAAACCAGTAGTTAATTCTAGGTCATGTTTTATGTAAGGCTACTGGGGACAAACAGTCATACTCTAAGGACTAGACTCGTTAAGCTTCTTAATTAGCTCCAGGTTCTTAAACTAACAGAGATAAAAACCTAAGCATGCCACAGAGCTATTGAATTCTCAGTAAGCACCTGCCCTGTGATGAGTTTTCAGTGAAGCTTTTTCTCTGTGCTGATGAGATTCATGCTACCTAAAACTTAACAGAAATGACACTGTGAACAATGTAGTTGGGAAATGAGTATGTGTATATGCATTATTTATATTCACTCTTCACCTGGGCATGGGGAGCAGCTCTGGTTCACAATGCTACTATATACAGCGAATTTTTGTCTGGTTTTACTAGAACTGCTTTGATGGCAAAAGGGGAGGGTGGTGGGTGGGAAAGGCAATGTCAGGGCAAGTGCCCTGATAAAATGAAGGCAGGGAAACAAGCTGAATTACTTGAAGTTACTTGAATTTTCTTGTCTTAAAACTGAAAAAAAAAAGTATAGTAACAAGTTGAAATCTGCAAGTGGTTCTCACACCTCTGATTTTAACATGAACTGATACTAATGTTTGAAATCATATGTCAGAAATATAAGCACCTATGTACTTAGAATAGGTTTTGAATGGGAGCAGTAGAAATTAGAACTAAGGAGGGATACGATCTGTGAAAGACAATGACAGAACACACCAGGGTTACCAAGCAAATGATAAGCAGCTGGCTTTATGCTTATGCAAGTGGTATTTGAGAAAGTAAGATGTATGAAAGGATTTACTCATGGTAAATGAAGGAGAAAGTATGGTCTAAGAAGACACTGTCTTTCAATAGAAATTCGTTATAATATTTACAGATTAAGAATTAAAGAATCTGTTGTTGGTGTTTTGTTTGTTTGGGGGGAAATGTCTGACTTCTTCTATTATTTGTTTTTACTGCCAAATTGTGTTAGTTAATTTCTTGTCATTCTTGTATGTAAAATGGGTGTTGGGGGTGGAGGGATAGAGGAGAAGACTGAGAACTGGGAGAGAGAATGAGAGAGAGAGAGAGAGAGAGAGAGAGAGAGTAAGAGAGAGAGAGCGCGCGCAAGTGTGTGCTGGGGATAGATAAACTACCTGGTAAAGGGTTTGAACATATACAAAGTGTTACAATTTTGTTAAAAGAAAATGTTGGGGATTGAAAGAAATTTGACCACCATTTACCATTGGAACATGTAACTCATTACAAAACAAAAAACAAAAACAAGCAACACATACACATACACACACACACAACCAGCATGGTTTGACATCATCTGGGGTCATGAACAAATCTGTCTCATGCTTTGAAAAGTACACTCCACAAAATTTTAAAAATAAAAGTTTTTAGACAAATGTGATAAGGAACCATCATTTTCAGTCACAATAGGTGATCATTTGTAATTTTCATAAAAGCAGTTCGTTTGCAGTATGGCTTTTGTGTAGATAGGGGGTTTTTTAGTGTGAAGAAAGGTATATGGGTTTTAAAAGTGATTCTAAATCTTGAATAGAAGAACATAAATTGGCTTTAATAAAAATGTCACCTTTTATTATTGACATTAATTTAAGTAATCATATCATATATTTTTAAAATACATATTTGACTTGAATAGTGAGGCAATAAGGTACCGTCGATGTGATGATCACAGAACCACCCTTATAATATAGTTTTACTTATTTTGTTTACTCTAAAAATCTATATCAGAGTTTCTCTATTTTGTATTTCATAGATTTAAAGAAATCCCAAATAAAGACGGATTTTAGATTCACTGTGGACAAGAATATTGAATAAGAAAGTTTTAAAAGCAAGCAAATCCTTTAAAATTAGTCTTCACAGCTTTATAATATACTAAACAAGACCAAGATGTAGGTCTGTCTTTAACATCACTGTCATCTTGAAGCAGGGTACACACATTAGGTATTGTTTAAAAAAATAAAAACAAACAAACAGACAAAGAACAAAACCAATCGAAACTTCTTCTGTTGTTTGCACTGATGCTATTTTTTCTTCTGTGTTTATCCAACACGTTTATGTTGCGTGAGGGAATTCTGTTTTACTTTCTTGCTTTTCTGGTGATTCTGGTTTGATTTTACTTGTTTTGGTTTTGGCTCAGTAGAGGACATGGACTAGTAGCAAACAAAATACACCGTTTGCTCTTGCCAGTGAGTACAATCTCTTTAGTGGTGGATGCTGAGAGGATAAGACACTAACAAAGCTTGAATTCTGAAGGTTATGGTGTAACTCTTTTGGTACTAGAACCAGTTCGTGCTGGCCGAAAAGACAATGGTTTTTGGACTTGCATCCATTTTGTATTTTTGTAACATTTGTAAATATGAACTTTTTAAATTGTTGCAAAGATGGTTTCTTTTGTAAAATGTTTTCAACGTTTACATTCAATCCAAGCCTTTGTATATTTTAGAGCTGTGCAACACTTTAAGTCTTGTATTTATTTTTAGTAAAAACGGTGACAGTTTCATTGTGAACCCCTCTCAAAAAATGTATCAGAACAGTTTGATTCCCTAGAAAGTGTGTATAGAGACTGCAAATAAACGTGACTGCAATTAAAGAGCTGGGGTTTCTCTTTATTGTTATGTAACTATAGTTTGGAAATTTCACAAGCAGGAAGTGTTTTATAGGCACCCAGATATAAAAGAGGGGTTTATTAGCAGGAAAGCATGCTATCTATAACGGACACTAATCTAGTTTCATTTTTAATAGGGAATGACATATGTTCAATACTCAAGCTACTTTGTGGTTCCTTTCTATACTAGATGAAGGTTTGTGACTTTATTTTGAAACACTTGACTGCTTTGTTTCAAAGTTTATTATACTTGTACATCCAAAAACATTTATACACACACACACACACACACACACACACATATGGTAAATTGACACTAGTTAATGTCACATCAACTTTATTATATAGCAAAACTCCTGTCTCAAACACTATGTGCTTTGAGCACACTAATGTGTATACTTCCCAAGATAAGCCCATTTTATACTGGACAACACTCGACTATGATTTAGCTTGCATGAATAAGTACGTGTTGGTCATGATGTTTAAATTCAACAACTATGATACTGGAATATGTTAGTTCCATACTGCAGTCTGTGCTTATTGGAGACTGGAAATAACGCTACTAGTGTTCCCAGGCTGCCAAAAAAAAAAAAAAAAAAAAAAAGGATGTGTTAAGACCCCAGCCCTTCTGTCCAGTCAAGTTTTAGCACTGTGTACCCCGGGAGGCCCAGTCATCTTGGACATCTCTAGTGAATTCCAGGAGGTGAAAAAGGGTATAGGGTTGTATGTTAATAGTAACATATTTTAATAACCAAATGAAAATGCTTGCCGCACACTTAGGAACCTGGCCCTTTGAATCACTTTTGGGGCTAGAAGTTGTACTAGCTAGTCCAGGCCCCAGTGTCTCCACAAAAAAAAAAAAAAAAAAAAAAAAAAAAAAAAAAAAAAAAAAAAAAACTGCTTTGAGAGGATCTTGCCACAGCACTCTAGAGGCTGCTTGTCAGCCAATTGGCTCAGCTACATTAAGTGTAGGACCAGAGGCTCAGCTTCGGACCCTCGAAGCAAGGGGTCTTGACTCTCAGTCAGCGGAAAGGCCCTCTCCACTGGAAACCTTCCCTTTCCATGCCCTATCTCCGTCTGAAGTGTGAAAAATCTCCCGGTCTATACATCCTTTTGACCATTCATGGGCTTTGCTGGCCACTGTTCAGTCATACAAGCCGTGAACACGTATCGCTTTACGGTCAGGCACTTTACAATGCAGAGCTTTGCGACACGCAGTGCGTCAGGAGCACCTGGTTTCTGGCACGCGGACAGTTAAAAGGTGTCAACAGACCTCGGAGGTCGGTTTGGCTGCCAGACGTCTAGATGGTTGTTTAGCGGCCTGCCGGCAGGTTTCTGAAGGCTAGTGTGGCATCAAAATACGTAAGTTATGGATATCTTAGCCCCTACTTTAACCTTTGTTGTCATGGGTATGTGTACTAATGTGTAAAACAGCCATCTGAAGTATTTTGCCTTCGGGGTGACAAGATACGTTTGGCGAATCTGTACTTTGCCGCCTCAAATGATGAAAACTCTGTAGTTGAGTGATTTTTCAGTAATTTTTCTGTCTCCGGGCCACCAGTGCTTGGGATCTGTTGGTGGCCTTGGGGGTTAACCGCTTTTTGGTTGACAGTAAAACCTTACCATTTTATTGTAAATATGTTGGTTGGAAGGAAGAAAAAGATGTAGAGGGGTGTTGAGGACGCCTTCTAGAATGTTCTGTTTATCGTTAGCTTAAGCATCTAGCGGGCAGATGTGGCATCCCGAAGTAACTGTAAAATGTCTGGATCCCTGTAAGGCCCAGTAGTTTCGGGATATGCTTCTGGGGCTGGCTGAGTGCTGTGTGCTCCTTTGGTTGTTTATTTGTTTGTTTTTGTTTTGTTTTGTTTTAAAGGCTCTAATCTGTTAGGAGTCATTTGGCTTTCTTCTCTCCTGATTCTCTCCGAATTCAGGTTACTGTTGTAATTTGCCATGTATGTTGTTAAGGAAGAGTTGAAAGTTGCTTTCAGCCCTTCAGTCAGTGTGACCTATATTTAATGGGATACATTGTTGGGATATAGTTTTCCCAATTTGGACTGTTTTAGTATAACATTGAAAGACCTAGATGTTACAAATTGCATTTTGTGTTTTTAATAAAGAAGTCTTAGAATAAAAGTTTGTTTTCATCCATCCAAGTCATTGTGATGTATTCCATATGGAATAAGTTGATGGCAGGTGACTCCTCAGTTTAGTTGTGTGGAGTTTATAACTTAGAAAAATCTCACTGCCTTGATTTGCCTTTTGTGTTTTAAAGAATTATTTGGAGAAAATGTACTTTTTTATTCATCTTAATAATTGTTAGCTATGCCTTATGGGATAAGTTGATGCCAGGTGACTCTCCAGTTTAATTTGTTTGGGTCTTTTATAACTTGGAGATATCTACCTGTTTTGGTTTGCTTCATGTATCTTTTAAGAAGTCATTGAGTAGAACACAGTTTTAAGCCATTCTACCCACTGTGATCTATATCTTATGGGATCAACTGGTGGCCTTTGACCACCCCCCCTATTTTGGTGCCTATTTGCAAATTTTGAAACTTGAAATTTATGTATCTGCCTTTTGTGATTTGCCTTGTGGGTTCTTAAGAAATTTTATGGTAAAAATTATTTTTTAGCATTCTTTTCTCTGTGAGCTCTGCCTTATGGGATAAGTTGATGGCAGGTGATGGCATGGATTTTGACTATTTGGGGTTTTTTATTTGTTTGTTTGTTTTTTACTTAGGAAGATCTTGCTGTTGTGAATTGCTGTCCTTTAAGAAGTCTTGGGTAAAAGGTAGACTTTAGCCATCCTAATTATTGTCAACTATACTTAATGAGATATGTTCTTACAGATCACTCTTCCAATTTGGCATTATTTGGAGTTTCCTATCTTAGAAACTTCTGGCTGCTGTGATTTGGCTTTTGTGTCTTTATGAATTGTTAATGTAAAAAGTTGTTTTGAGCCATGTTTTTAGACATTGTGAGCTGTGCCTTATGGGATGTGTCGTTGGCAGATGACTCTCCTAATTTGGGCTGTTTAGGGTTTTATTACTTAAATTGGAGTTATCCTGATGCTTTGATTTATCTTGTGTGTTTTTAAGAAGTCATGGGGTAAAAATAATTTGATACTATCTGATTCTTGTTTTTTTCTGATTCAAGATGTAGAGCCAATATTGTATTATGTTTTTTAACAACTGGTTGACTCCAACAGTCATCTTTAGTTGGGCTATTTAGAAAGTACTAAAGAATTTTCAAATGTGTCAGTCTTTTTCTAACTTTTTACTTTATTATTTTGTTTTCTAGGAATTTTTCTTCTATAAGTACTTGTACCAGTGGAACACTGTTCTACAACATTCATTGTAAGAATAAAACTTTAGAAGTAATTTTATGGTTTATTCACAAGACAGAACACTAAGAAATTGTTAAAGTGACTATAGTGTTAGCTTGGAAAGGCCTCTCCTACCATAGGCTACTTCTGCCTGATTTTGAGCTTTCTGAGTTGAATTATATACTGTGTTATCTTTCATGTCTGGCTTTTTTTTACTCAAGGTTGTGGTTGTGAAGTTCATCCTTGTTGGCAACAGCAGTAAGTAGTTTATTTTCATTATGAGGTTTTCTGTGTGTGACTATAGATACAGGTTAATTACTTACAGCTCATGCCAATCTTAGAGTCAGGAAATCCTAAACAAAAATAAAATGTAGTAGAAATTATAGGTCAAATTGAGATACATTACTATAGTGATATTTCATTTGTATTTTAATAAATAAAGCTTGCCTGAAGGTCAGAGAGTGAAACAGCCACACTGGTCAGCCTTACAGACCAGGCAGTGGTGACACACATGCCTTTAAACCAGTAGCCATACCCATAGAAACTGGGTGGTAGTGGTGCATGCCTTTAATCCCAATCCTAGAGAGGAATATAAGATGGGAGGAGACAGCTCTCAGAGTCTCATTCTGAGATTTCTGGAGGCAGGATCGCCATTTCAAATTGAGGCAGAAGTAAGAGACAGTGGCTGGCTGTTTGGCTTTTCTGACCTTCAGATTGAACCACAATATCTGTCTCTGGGGTTTTATTAATCATGTTGCATATTACAATTTGAAATTTTTATACAACATTGGTCTGCATTTGTCTAACTTGAGAGTTAACGCTCCCATCTTTTAATCTCCCTTTGAATTTCGTCCTTAGAGACTCTGGTCACTAGTCTCCCCACAGCAGATTAAAGGAGAACAGGAAAGGGATGAAACCCTGGTCCCTTTATTATGTCTTTCCCTGCTGCTCTGTCTCAGGGTGAATAAAATGAATTCACTTCTGCACTAGGGTGTCCCTCTAGTAACTTTGCGCCAGGAATTCAAGTCAGACCTCTGATTGCAGAGGTCTGGTTCTGGTTCCATATTAAATGACTCAGGGCTATAATCCAGCCTTGAAAATTCTGGAATTTATTTTCATCTTATATTTCACATGCATTTCTTTATTTGGGTTTAATGTTAAAGTCTAACTCATAAGACAGTCATGATTTTGGAGCTGCGATGGGCCCTGGAGATATGAGCCTCAGAAGGGTTTACAGTACAGGTGAGGAGGTGGAGCCTCCTTGGTTGACTCCACTCACATTGCAGCAGCAGCCCAACAGCAGGAGCAGTTCAGAAGCAGCCCAGAAGCAGAAGCATCACCACCAGGAGCAGTTCAGTAGCAGCAGCAGCAGTACCACCACCACCACCAGCAGCAGCACTAATAGAGACACCAGAGATGGAGACTTGAAGTGACAGCAGCAGCAGCAGCAGCAGCGATGTCTGAGGCAGCAGCAGAGATAGTAGTGGCCAGACAGTAGTGGCCATAGCATTGGTGTCAACGGTGGCAGTGGAAGCTGCCTTTAGATCAGAACAGATTATTGGGGCAGTATGGTGGCATTCTGTCTCCCTAAGCAAAAACCCCTTTGAGCTCCTTTACATAAGTGTTAGCAATATATTCTCTTGTTTGGTGGCTTTTAGTGCTCATTTTGTAGTTTGGAAGCAACTGTTCATAGATTGCACTTTCTTTTAAACTTCATTGTGAGCTCCCAGTCATTGCTCTTCTATGCATAAAGATGTATTCTAGTGCTGGAAATGTAGCTTAGCAATAAGGCACTGAGCTAGCATGGATAAGATCCTAACTTCCACCCTCAGCCCTGTAAGGTTACCCATGTTAAGTTGATGTAGATAGTAGGTACATGAAGTAGCGTTTTTATGCATTTCTTTTCAGGAGGAGAAGGTTTGCCTCTTAGATGACTAAACAGTTTCACAAATAAACCTTCCAGCAAGTCTAACCTGTCGCGCAGCAATGATGTCTGCCTCCAAAGAAATGGCTGCGGTTTGTATTTGAAATTGTCTCTCTTCTTTCCCTGGTGCTTTAGTTTTGCTAAACTGAGTTAAATTAAATAAAATGAAATGTATTAGGTAATAAGTGCAGTTTTGACAATGCTCTATAAAATTTCTATGAGCATTTGTGTATAAATTTAAGAACATACACAACATTTCTTCTGGGTACTCTGAAATTGAACTGCAAACAAGTACAGTCTGTATAAAACTCAACTTTATAAGAATCTGACAACCATCTTTGCAAATTGGTTTGCCTTTTAAAATTTCTGCTGTATTCTGAAATGGAAATTATTAAACTATATTTAACCTTGCATAGCAGTGAACACATTTCTTTAATCACATAAGGACACACATATTAATGCCATTGAAGTAATCTATATCAACTTATATCAACTGCTATGCTTTTCATCATTGGAGACAATGCTCGCTGCCAATTGTTAAAAGTCATTGTGGGGACTATTTACTTGAAAACACCATATGAAGGTAAACTACTATATTTTTGTAAGGAATGTTATATAACACAAGTGTGTGTTAATTTAGTAACCTAATCAGTGGAAGGCTTACCACATACAGAGCTACCAAGTCTGTTTACTTTACACAGATTATCTACTGTCTCTTATCTACTCGCCTCATTTCTTAGAATAATTATTTTGTGGAAATGTAGCACTTATTTATGGTAACTTTTTTTATTTATACCCTGTCTTATTTCAACAACATTTTAAGGTGTTTTAGAAATTAATTTAGTAAGAGGAAAATGTGTTTAACTGTTTTCTAGTTTGACCACATGGTGGCAATGTTGGATTATTTAGGAATCAAAACCAGGGCAATGCTCTGATCGTGGTCAGTTTGTGTTGTGATTGTTGGTTTTTTTTTTTTTTTTGGCTTTGAAAGCATTTTTAACACTGAAGATTAATGTCTCTGCCCTAAAATAAGAAGGTGTTAAACTCAATGGAAAAGGGGACTCTGGTGTAGCTAGATTAATGAAAGCATAGTTCTGCAAGTATACTTTTTCTCTTGTTTTCCTGAAACAAGGTCCTTGACCCAACCAGGCTGCCCTTGAACTCATCACCCACCTGCCTTAGTCACACATACTTTTCTACATAGACATGGTATTTAAAACATAGGTCCTTTGATAACACATCAGGTTTTCAAAACTTCTGAGAAGTGAAATTAAAGTCCTCAGCTTTTCTTTTTGCTATTTTATATTTTCTTTTAATTTGCTAAGAAATTTTTATCCTATACAAATATGAATGCCTCCTTAGGATGGTAATGATAATATATTTTATGAGTATGTACCAAAGATTACATTATATACATTTCAGTTATATAAGTAATATTAAGTAACTTGTTGTGCAGTATATCAGTGTTTACCATTTGAATGAGAAAAGTTTAAATCTTAATTACTTTATGGAGTTTCTTTAAATTGAATCTCTTTAGACGGTGAAATCTTAGCCATTTTGCATGTTCCCTTTTCTTATGTATTAGGACATTCTGAGCAACTTTTTACTGGAGTTCTAAACCTAGAATCTTCTGGTAAAGTCTTTCCTTTCTCTTTTACTTGGCTGGCAATTAATTCCATTCCTTGTAGTGTTAATTGTTATTTCATCTCTGATTTAATTAAGGCTTTTGAAATATTGGTAAAAATTAAAAACAACCTGTGTATAAGTATAAGGTATGGTCACTATTTGATTTGATTCTTTCTGAAATAAAACATTAACTACTTGTGATATAAAAACTATTTTAGAAAGAACCTCACCTACCTGAAATTCGTGCAATTGAAGAATCAAAAGCGATTGTGGATATCATGAACCATTGCCAGGTGTGACAACTTCTCTTTTCAGTGTGTTTTTCTATAATGTTAAATTGTAAACATGTTTTACTTTACATGAGGGGAAAGTGTACAATTAATTGAAATTTTGCCACATCAAATTTATTGTGATTATTCACCTCATTGCGATTATTTTGACAATTTCTACATAGAATATTTTCAGGTGAAAATTTGAAATATCAGTATGTGTATTTTAGATCATTAAAAACATCATTTATCAAGTTTATGTCTTTTCCATCTATGTTGTTAAGTATTAATTTCCACTATACAACTTTTAAAGGAAATGGGAAGATTTGAATTCACTTTTAATATGTGCTTAATTAATTACCTAATATCACAACTGAAATGAAAGGACAGCCTACTCATGTCTTACAATGAATTTATCTCATGTAATTTTGAGGGGAAATCATAAAAATAAACTTGTGGATAGGGACTGATAGAAGTATCTAATTACTGTGGATTTTGTGAGCTGTACACCCCAGAGGCAATGGAAGAGTTTAAATAAATGATTCTTGTCCCATGAGGTTTACAGAATAGACTGAACTAACATACTTTGAAAAGTAAAAGTTTATGTGTGCCTTTCCTTTTAGACTGACACTAGTGAGGACAGAAGCCATGCTCACAGGACTTGGTCTTAAGATTGTGCAGAAGTAGGGGTGGGTGGATAAGCGTGCCTGACCTGCAGTGCCCAAATCTTGACAACCCTGAAGCCTAGGGTGTAGTGTTCAGCCAAGAGACCAGTAATTGTGCAAGGTGAATGGGATGTGGCATTGCGGATCCCAAGCTGTTTAGGATCCCAAGCTGTGTCCCTTAGGGGTCCTTGAGAATCCTGTCACATTGCTGAGTGTGCTGGTATGTATGCACTCCTTACGTGTGTAGGAGATGATAACAATAAAAATATGCAAATTCAGAGGCAGGAGGATTGCCACAAGTTCAAGGCCAACCTGATCTATATAGTTAGTTTAAGGCCAGCCAGGGCTTCACAGTGAAACCCTGCCTCAAAAAATAAAAACATAGAAGCAAAGGAGTCTTTTAATATTTGGTGAAAGTGTATTGTTTTTACTCTCTTTTTGGGATTATAATATAATTAAAACATTTCCCCCTCCCCTTTCCTACCTCCAAACCCTCCCATAGACCTCTACTTGCTCTCTTTCAAATTCATGACCCTTTTCATCAATTGTTATTGCATGCTTATGTTTGTGTATATGTATGTACATATATGTGTGTGTGTATTCGTAAATACACACTGCTCAGCATGTACAGTGTTATTTATATGCATGTTTTCAGTGCTGACCATTTGGCACTAGACAACCATTTGTTGTGCTCTTTCCTGGGTAAGACTATTGCTCTCACTCTTAGTATTTCTTAATTTCCTGTATTTCTTTGTGCAGAGTTGAGGCCTTGTGGGCTTCCCCCATCCACTTTGGCATGTTTATTGGTATTCTTCTTGTTCAGATGATGTTTAGGTAGTCATGTTGGTGAGATGTTATGGGTCTACACCATAACATCTGGCATCACTAGGAGACATGGTATCACAGCAAACCCCGATCCTCTGGCTCTTACGATCTTTCTGCCTCATTTTCCACAATGTTCCCTGAGCCTTAGGTACAGGAGTTCTTTTATACATGTATTCATTGGGACTGGGCTCCCAGAGCACATTTTGAGAACCACTTTACTTGCACTTCTCTCAAGATAATTTCTTCAGGACAGGGCTTTCTTTCTTTCTTTTCTTTTCTTCTTTTTTTTTTTTAGGTTTTGTTGTTTGTTTGTTTGCTTTTCATGGTTTTTAAAATTTATGATCCCAGAACCTAGCAAAGAAATTCTGACAGGAGGAAGGTATTCATCCTTGAATGAAGAAATGTTTATGGTATTTTATAAATATATTATCTGAAACTTTTGAGCATTTCATGAAAACCCATCAGCATGTTATCAGTGGTGTTCCTCATTGGTATGGCATATAAGGTGTACTCAGTGCCATTGAACCACCAATGCCAGATGCTTAATTTTTAGAATACTTTGGAGCCCTACATCACCTATGTTTTATTTGGCTCTATAGTCTTCTCAGAGTGGAACACTCACTATTTGTTCACAAGCTGTGGTGTGGACGCTGACTCTTATGGTTACCGGATTTGAATGCTTGTCTCCTATGTGAGCGCCCTCTTCAGTGGGAAGTGCTGCAGTACACATAGGTGGGAGGTTGTCAGGAGTTGTGATGCACTCACCTTCTGGCACTGAAGAAACTTCCACATGTGCATGAATCAGCTACTGCAGTGAAAGGTGGAGGAGACAGTATCTCAGCCAGTGTCCTGTGGCCCTTAAAACCAGGCCTCTAATGATAGCATGATGTGTCTGACTACTGGAGAACTTCCATTGTGTCTAGCAATTAGCTTTTTGCTTTATGCATTTTGAAACAGCAACTACTAATGCCTTTTATTATAACAGGTTATCTCTAAAGCTGTTCAAAGGCTGGAAAAGAAGCTTGATGACATGGATCACAAAGTAACAAACATTTATTACTCTCGTGCCAGATCCTTTTGGCGTTACCCTGTAAGTGTACAAAAACACTATCACAACTTTGATAAATACATTCTGTCTAAAGATGCCAGTCGGTTAAAGTGATAGAGAGTTAGGAAATGTGGGATTATCAAGGTTTATCTGTACTTCCTGGAGGAGCAGATGAGGACTGCAACTCTTTTTGAAAGAATAATCAAGTTCAGGATTAATAAATGTAGAGCAATGAGCATCTTAAAAGTATATATTTAAAATACATTTTAAATATACATTTTAAAATGTACTTATAAAATATGCATCAAATTAAATGTAGGTCAGAAGAGAAAGAAAAATCATGTGATCAAAAGACAACACCATTTTCCAATGTAAAATAATGTTGCATGGAAACCTTAATGTCCTGACTACTCTTTTTATTTCTCTTTTTATTATGAAGCCTTTAAGATCAGTATCTAGAAGATACGATTACCTGAAATCTAAAAGAATTAAACTCCAGGAAGAGAGCCAAATCGTTCATGACAATACCTTCTCCTATCCTCAAAGTTATAGTCCAACTTCACCAGTCCGCACAAGGGATGACTATAACCCTGATGTGGAGAACGAGGAGACTGTAGATTACACCCAGACTTGCCACCACTCCAATTCTATTGACAACACCCAGATGTACCAATACCTTGATTCTATTGGCAATGCCCAGGCGTTCCAGTATGCTGAGTCTATGGACAACACTGGAAGTATCCAGAACACTGAGAACGATGCTGTTTTCCAGTCTGACGATTCCCAGGGAGTGATATGTATCAGTTCTTCACCAGAGAGTGACTATCAAGAAACTCCACTGAGTCCTAAATATACTGCCCAAAGCTCCGAAGAGGATTGCGGATTTAAAACAATTCCTGGTTCTTCTACAATGATCCACTACAGTGACTTTGAAAATCCCAACTTGAACACCATCACTTCTTCCACTCCAGTAATGATGAAAGAAAGCACCCACCCTCAAGGGGAGCTCATCCCCATCCAGAATCCTGAAATGAAGCGATTGGCCTTACTGGAGGCCCAGAGTACACCTGTGATTGATCCTAATACTTTTGGTGAGTTTGGAATGGTACCAATGATTAACATCCTTCTTGTTTTCTATTTTGATGATTGGTTTGTAATTATATGTACAATGGTGGGCGTTTATTGAATAAGTATTATGGGTAAGGCAGTGAGCTAATCAACTAACATGGATTGTCTCTGGTGGTCTTCATAATGACACCATTGTGATTATGAAATCTATTTTCCTTATCTTTCCCATAGTAAGTGCCCAACATGATAATAATGTGCTAAGAAAAAAAAGGACATAGTTTTGGATAATTCACAAACAGAAAAAATGAAATTTCTGTTGATTCTCTTTGGTTAGAAAAAAGATCCTCCCAACAAATGACCAAGCCCCCTTCATTTGTCATCATACATCAATTGTAGGAAATCAAACATTCTGCTAAAGGTAATATTTGGGCACAGAGAAGATTCCATGCAACTTAGCGAATAGCACAGCAAAACCTGCTGAGATATGAGCACTTACATTGTTTCAGGTATCATTTCTTTGTTAAAGTATTCAACCAAAACATTTATTACTATTCAATTAAACATGAAAGAATAATTGCATAAAATCACTACTGATTGAACTCATCAGAAAATATTTTTAAATTCAAATTTACATTTAAACTACAAGAGATATGAATATAAAAATTGCGATATTGGATTTAAGAGAGAAATTTGCTGCAAAGAACTTATCTTGTTACCTAAGATAACTAAGGTTATTGAAATTAGTTGATATAACCAAGAAATAAGCAATTTTAAAGTGTAAACTTCAGGGATTCCCACTGCATTTAGTACAATAAATTAATTTAGAGAAAGTGACCTATAAGAGAGATTTTCAAGAAATTCACTGAAGCCCTTAAAGTAAGAGACTACTGAGTTAGCTCAGTTTATCCCAATTTAATCCAAGTAGCACCTTTTCCTGTATTTGCTTGTGACCTAAGAGGCTTTGGATTGCTACAACGTGTTTCATGAACATCGAAGCTTTGTACTTTCTGTGTAAAGTTGTTCTGTTCTTTGGGGAGGTCCAGTGACATACTCTGTGCAGCACTCTGCAGATCATCTTCCTTAAGGCTCTCATGAGATTTTACAGTTGGAATCTTGAGTCCTTAGGTACTGAAGAGAAGGTTCCAGGGTGAGACCATTACTTTCTACCTAACGTCTCTTCTTTTCAAGATTCTGATCGTGCTTTTAAAAATGTTTTCCCCACTCATTGTTAACTGCAGGTTTGTCATCCAAATGTACCAATGCTGCTATGAAAGACCTTGGACAGCCTTTAAACTGGTCTGTGAATGACGTGATAACATTTCTGAACCGTTTAGATCCTCCATTGGCAGACCAACTCTACTCCACCATCAGAGAACATGTAATGTATTTTTAAGTTCAGTTTTCCTGCTACCCAAATGCCACTGAATGACCTCTGAGCATTTTCTCACCAACTGAGATGGTAGGGGAACCCTATCATCTGATTTAATTTTTGTTTGTGAAAAGGTTGTCTTGTCCATCCTGTTGTGCTTAAATGTTAGGTTAATTGTCTCTTCTTTATGTGGGTAGCTAAACTTCTAATACACTAAGTAGCCTCAAGTTTGGTGGTTTAAGATTACAAGTCTTAGGCAGACCTCTCTCCTTGCAAGGACAAATTCTCCTCCTACTAGGGACTATAAGTAAGAGGAGTTTACCCACACTGCATTCAAGAGTGGCCTTCTTGTTATGATATCCAGAAACTAATTCCAGATGATCAGTTCTGTTTACCTTATGTGACTACTGACAGCTGTGATACTGATAACAATTCACAAAATGATATCATGGTTAAATTCTACCTTTCCTTGTATTTTCTTAAGTTTTTTTCTTTGGTAACTTAAAATTTTGATTGCAGAGGTCTTTTAATTTCTTGGCATGGTTTATTCCCAGGTACCTTTAAAGATATTGTGAATAAGTTTTTTTGTTTTTGTTTTTCTCTAATTCCTTTCATTTCTTTCTTGGTAAGATTTTTTTATTAGTATATAGAAAGCTACTGCTTTTTTAAAAATGAGAATACAGACTGCTTTTATTCTGATTTTAGAATTTCCCTACATATCTCCACTACTTTTGGTTCTTAGGCTCTTTTTGTCAGCTCTTCCAAGATGATTTCTGAACCTTGCACATGAATGAGTTATGGGTCTCTTTATTGATCACCATGTCCTGGAAAAAAATCTTCTGCTGTGGGTCAAGGGATGCACTAATATACATATACATATATATGAACTAAGGAGACATTTTATTGCTATGTTCATTTTGAATAATAATAATAATAAAAATTTCCCCTAGATCCTATGAACTATCCAGCCATAAGATTTTAGATGAAATTCTGTCTTATGGACCAAGCTTTAATCCAATATGAAAGTGGTTAGCTACTCCCATAACATCCGTACTAATATACCTATATTCTGACTGCTTGGGAGGCTGATGTAGGAGGATCTGTTGAGTCCAGGAGTTCTGGACTGTAGTGTGCTATGCCCATTGAATGCCCATACTAAGTTGGGCATCTTTATGATGACCTCCTGGGAGCAGGGAATCACCTAAGGAAGGATGAACTCACACAGCTGGGAAACTACTGGTTTTGTAGTCTATGACTATTAAAAGTTTAATCAGATAGAAGAGTTTTCTGCTGGCATTTCTAGGGTCTTTTAAGTATAAGATCTTATGACTAGAAAATAGAGATAATTTGACTTCTTGTTTCCTATTTGTATTTATTTTTAGTTCTTTCTTTTAACTTGCTTTTATGGGTTGAATTTTAATAAGCTCTACTTCCTTTACTTTCTAATTTTATTTCCTATCATAAGAGATTCTGTGTCTTTTTAGACAAGAATATCTGATTAAATAAAGTTCTATTTTATGCTGGAACTTAAAAAAATAATATACTTTAGTAGCATAAGGTGATGATAAATTAAAACACTAAAGAATTTTTGTAAAGATGCCTTTCGACTATCAAATAGTAGAGTATCTATACACCATTTTCAGTATAGGAAGAAAACCAGTAATTAGTCTTAATGTCTAATTAGCTTCAGACAAGTAACTCACTTTCAAATAAAAACAATACTATTGAACACATTTACAGTTTGCATTGATGTTGTTATATTCCTAGGCTCTATTAGAAAATTAATAGCCATGAAATTCATTTCTCTCATTCTTTTTACTTTTTTCATATGTACACAGTATTTTATTTATCACAGTATTTAAAATTAGGACATTTGATATAGTTAATTTTAAATATTAAGTTAAATTTGCTTTTTAAAATTGATATAAATATATAAATTTAAAAATGATACATTACTGTTCAATGATATTTATCATAGTTTTTATACAGGAGATACATATCCAGGGACTTTATAACTATGAGACACTTTAGTTTTGCATGTTCTTATATACAAAGAAACAATTGCTTATCAAATATGCAGTCTTGTTACTCATTTTAAACCTTTTCCCTCTCTCTAGGACATTGATGGGAAAGCCTTGCTGCTGCTCAGTACTGATGTAATGATAAAGTTTATGAGGATAAAGGTGGGCGTAGCCTTGAAGCTCGGCAGCTACATTCAAAAGCTTAAAGAAAGAGAAAACTGTAGCCCGCAAAAAAATTTGTAGAACTTTAAATGTTCTCATAAAGTCCTTCTTAATGCACAGCTAACTTCCTATGTTTATTTGTTTTTGTTTTGGAGAAGGTTCTCCTAAAATATGTTATTACTAGAATTGAAAAAAATACATTATAGTCAAAGTCTGCTTTGAGTTATTTGACATATTAGTATCAATATATACACATGTCTTCTTTAGATTTTTCATTTTATAGATTAAAATGCAAGAAACAAAATGCTATCTTTGATTTGGGTTTATCTTTATACATATTTTTAAAGCAACTAAAGAGGAAATACAAGGAACTAATAACTTATATAACTAAAGTGGTGAAATTTTTGGCAGAAGAGAGATTAAAGGAGAATATATAGTTACCCTTCTTGGATATTTTATCTGTATAATACTCTACCATACTTTTCATGTTCTTACAGTTTTTAGAAAAAACAATAGCCATATTGTCCTCTCTATTATTACATCTCTGGTATGCTTGTTCAGATTCAGAAGGGGAAATGGAACCTATGAAGTGTAATGAGCTCTAGACAACTAAATATTCTTAGCAGTTTTCAGATAACTTATAGAATATGTAGAACGAGATACTAGTTCAGATTCAGAAGGAGAAAATGAAACTTATATAACATCTAATGAACTCCAGACAACTAAATATTCTTACCAAGCTTTTAGATAAGTTTTAAGGTGTATTTATTTGTTTTACCTAAGAATTGTACCCCAATAGTAGTTTGGAATAAATCTGACTATAGTTTTAAGACACATATTTACTATATTAAAGTCTTTATATTTTTTAAGAAATTTGGACATTTAGCTAAGGATTCATTGTTTAAATGTCTACATGAAGGTACTCATACTCAAAGATTTTTTAAATGTGTATTTTATTTTATGTGCTTATTCTTTGTGCAGGTATTATATCTGTACCAAAATTGCACAGAAGAAAATATTTTATTTTGAATTTAAACTGGTACCTTACTTTGATACAAAGGAAATGATGAGCTGTCTATCAACAAGATGCTCTTATTCTGTGAACTGTGTATGTGCCACTTGCCCTTACTAGTCCTTCTCAGGTTAGCCCTCAGAGAGCAGAAACAGTGCCGAGGCTGCTTTAAACATATGGAGATGCTGTCTTCTTCCATCTTCAGGCATTCAGGATGTTCGCTATTGAAAGATACACTAGTCTGACACGTTTAGAATTTTATATTTATAATTGAAATTTTCAATATAAACATGAGTTTATATTGAACCTTTTGTTATTGCTGATCACATTGTATAACATTTGAAATGAGATAAACTAAGAATTGGTGCTAATAATATTGGTTTTGTATTGAAAATGGTAATAAAATGTTCACGAAGGGCAAGAATTTACATTATGTCTTTAGAAAACAAAGTGTACTAGTTATTGAAAATAGGTGGTTTAAAGGATTACTCAATTTATATTCCTGCTTGCATAAAAAAATACTTACTTCATACTCTTCAAAGTGCATAAAGATACTATGCACAGTTGAACATGATTCAGATGCTTGATAAACAGTGTTCTGTATTTTTCAGATTTCAAGATATAATAAAGCCAAAGAACTATAACAATTAATAACAGTGTCTTAGATTTTTTTAAATTAAAAATTCGTGCAATATATTCTGATTCTGTTTTGCCCTTCCCATCTCCTTCCAGGTCCTTTCTACTTACCTACCCGTCCAAATCCATATCTTCTTCCTCTTTAGCAAATAAAAAATCAAGCAAACCAGGATCAAAAACCACAGTAAAAAAGTACGAAACACACACAGAAACACACACACACACACATACACACATGGACCATAAAAACACAAAACACAGACCTGCTTCCTCTACTATTCTTTTATTTGCAACCAGCTGCAATGGAGTTTTAAAAAACAGAAACCTCTGTCCCAGTGTCTAATAAAAGCTTAACTTGATGATTTCCTATTGACACAGTAATCAAGGGATCTTGGATGCCTAAGAGGGTAGAGCTTCCGGTCTGTCATTCTTATTTGCTATCCATCCCCCTTGTGGTCAGGAGGGTCATTGCTTGCCTGGGATGTTAAGGCTGGAATGTTAAGGCTGGAATGTTAAGGCTGGGATGGTTAAGGATGGTTAAGGGATTCATTCAGTGAGTACATTGATCTGCCTTCAGTGGGGGACTTCTCCATCCTCCCCATTTTTGTTTTGGGAGATCTAGCTTCAGGACAAGCAGTAGGGAACTTGGGGTTAGTCGACTGGAAAGCAGTCATCAAAACATTTGCCAGCAGCTTAGCTGGCAGTCAAGGCGCCTTGTCTCTGATTTTCAGTATGTCCGTTATTTGAAACTTTTGAGCCACTCCAATGAGCAGGGAAGCAGTCATTCCAGAGAAGGCCTCCAGCTTTTGAGGGGTGTGTGTGTGTGTGTGTGTGTGTGTGTGTGTGTGTGTGTGTGTGTGTGACTGTGACTATCTGGGGCTTATTGAATGACAAAAGTCAAATTTGGTGTCCTAGCATTTTCCAGAGCTAGTGAGTCAAAAGGGGAAATGCAGAAAGTTTTTTTTATGTGTGTGTGTGTGTGTGTGTGTGTGTTATGAAGTTTGTGATTCCAGGGGAAAAGACCATAGACTCAATCCAGATTATAGTTAGTTAAATTTATTACAACTACTAACAAGACAATGATCTCTGAGCCAAATTTAAGACTGCTGCAAGAAAGAGAGTGGGGTGTTTTTAAAGGAGGAAAACACAAGAAGACCTTGAGTATCTGTGTCAGTCAAGAGTTGTTCTGCTCTGCCAAGATTTGGTAGTCAAGGTGCCCTCAAAATAGTTCTCAAACGTCTGCATAAGCAGATTACAGAAGCCAAAGAGCAGTTAATCGTAACATAACAAGTAGATAGTCACAGCTGTATATTTAAGGGTGGGGGAGGGGATCACTGAGTCAAGGTTATTGAAACATCTTGCAGGGAAGGGATTCAGAGACAGGGCTAGTGGGTACAGGAATGGATGCCCAGCATAAAATGGATTTTTTTTTTTTTAAAAAAAACTGTCTATGTTGTAATCACTCAAAAAAAAATTCCTCTGGGCCTTGGAGAACCTCAGCAGTCTTAGATAAATTAGTGGGGTTTTGAGCTGTGCCCAGAATTCCAGTCATAAGGCACTGGTAAAAGTTTTCAGGGCCTGGGAACAGCAGGATGAATTGGGGCACTTAAATGGCAAAGCTGCCTCAGCATAGGTGACTGGGGTAAAAAATGCCTTCTTTGCTTCTACCGTAATATATTCCCTTTCCTCTGGAGTAAATACAACCAGGAGTTGCTGGCAATCACCCCAGGGTGCATAATGGCTGTGGAGGATAGATTTCAAGAGGGCAGTTAGGATTTAGGGTTTGTCAGAAAAGGAGAAGTTTCTGTTGTCCAGTTAATCAAATCTGAAGTAGAGAAAGGGACAGAGACTAAGAAAGGATGGTGCCTTTTCCCAAAGTTTCTGCCTCCACTTCCAGGAAGAAGTGGCCTCCTGCAAGGGAAAGAAAAAGGCTGGGATCTGACTAAAATATGGAGCATGGCAGACTTTCAAGAAGGATGCCAAACTGGTTAAGGAAGTGCAGAGATGGGGGAAAACTGGATGTCTCCATCAGGAGGCATTGCAATGGTCACAGAGGGAAGGCGGGAGACAACAGGAGTTATAGCTCCAGAAGGGGTAGTGGGGAAGTAGGAATGGGGGTAGAGATGGATAAAGTAGGGCGGGACAGAATACACCAGCTTGAGGTTGGGGGAAGAGGAATGAATTTGGAGCAGATGGGCCAGATGAAGGGGAGAGAGATGAACAAGAGTTGCGGGATTGGGGGAGAAAAACCAACAGAGGATCTCAGGACAGGCAGCAGGATGCAGGTGACAGAAAACATTTTAGAAAACAAAACAACAGGATAATCCCTAAAGTGCAAACCTTCAGACAGCTGGGTGGGTTTTGAACAAATATCAACCATTGACCAATATAGATCAGGGTGCCCTGGGGATCCTGTGCTTTGAGCCAGACTGATTTCACAATTCATGATTCAACGGACCAATGGATGGTCCTCTTCATGGGAGGGTCAGACAATCTCACAAAAAGTGAACAGCTTTTCCTTTGAGAGTGAACTCTCATAGTTTTCTCCAAATCCTTGGGAGCAATTCTTTACCATACACTGAGGGGTGAGAGTTTGAATTTTGTAGTCCCTATATTAGAAGAGAATTTATGTGACTCAGAAATAGATTAATAGGACTAACCCAGAAGCACTGACAATGAAGAGACGACAAACCCAAGTTAGACTTGTCAGAGGACCCTCTGCCATGGGAGCAAGCGAGAAGCCAAGTCAGAGGGGGCAACTCCAGAAGCCGTTGAGTATGACGAGATTTCCCATGTAGGAGGGGAAAGGAAGCTATTGGGGAGTTTGCAGACAAAAAGACAAAGCAAACAACAGCATACAAAGGATGTTACCAGTTGGCGGAATCTGAGGAGCATTCAGGAGCTCTGTGAGAGTTTCTCCCAGCCTGCTTCAGCCTGTTTTTCATAAAGGAGGAACGAATAGGGCTCCCTTTCCTAGAAGAAGATGGTTTGGACACATCATTGGTCCAGCTCCAGGCCTCTGGTTTCTGCTACACCACTGATAATGGGCTCTCACTGGGGTTGCTTTTGCATATGCAGTTGTTGCCCTGTGCTGTGGAAATCCTGCTGATTTGGATCTGTAAGTTCATCCCTTTCACATGCTATAACAGTTCCTAGCTCCAGCCTGGGTGAAACCACGGCCCCGTGTCCTCACAGGTTGCCTAGATCAGCACTTTCCCAGAAACAGCATGCCCTTACCCCAGGCACTAACATGGACCCTGGTAGCTGACCCGACCTCAGGCATCTGCAAAGCCCTCCTCCATTGTCACTGGAGCCATAGACACCACCCCAGACACTGGCTGTTGTTGTTATGCCCAAATTTTGGATCCCCAAAATACTACCATGAGACCAAATCTGATGTAAAAAGTCTTTATTGTGAGTTAACTCAGGCCTCTCCTTCTAAAGAAAAAGAAAAAGAAAAAGAAAGAAGGAAGAGG